AAGCAAAAACGGTTTCCGATCAATAACTAAAGAACTTTAAGGCCTAGGAACTTCAAACTTGGTATGGTGATTGGTCATGATCAGTAGATGACCCCTATCGATTTTGGGGTCAAGGGGTCAAAGGTCAAGGTCACATTGACCTCTTGGGTAAAAACGGTTTCTGATCAATAACAAAAGAACCTTAGGCCTAGGAACTTCAAACTTGGTATGGTGATTGGTTATAACCAGCAGATGACCGCTATTGATTTTGGGGTTAAGGGGTCAAAGGTCAAGGTCACATTGACCTTGTAGGTAAAAACGGTTTCCGATCAATAACGAAAGAACCCTTAGGCCTAGGGACTTCAAACTTGGTATGGTGATTGGTCATGACCAGCAGATGACCCCTATTGATATTGGGGTTAAGGGGTCAAAGGTCAAGGTCACATTGACCTTGTAGGTAAAAATGCTTTCCAATCAATAACTTAAGAACCCTTAGGCCTAGGAACTTCAAACTTGGTATGGTGATTGGTCATGACCAGCAGATGACCTATTGATTTTGGGTCAAGGAGTCAAAGGTCAAGGTCACATTGACCTTGTAGATAAAAACGGTTTCCGATCAATTAACTAAAAACGCTTAGGCCTAGGAACTTCAAACTTTGTATTATGATTGGTCGTGACCAGCAGATGACCCCTATTGAGTTTTGGGTCAAGGGGTCAAAGATCAAGGTCACATTGACCTTGTAAGTAAAAACGGTTTCTGATCAATAACTTAAGAACGCTTAGGCCTAGGAACTTCAAACTTGGTATGGTGATTTGTCATGACCAGCAGATTACCCCTATTGATTTTGAGATCAAGGGGTCAAAGGTCAAGGTCACATTGACATTGTAGGTAAAAATGGTTTCTGATCAATAACTAAAGAAGGCTTTGGCCTAGGAACTTCAAACTTGGCATGGTGATTGGTCATGACCAGCAGATGACCCCTATTGATTTTGGGGTCAAATGTCAAGGTCACATTGACCTTGTATGTTAAAACGGTTTCCGATCAATAACTAAAGAACCCTTAGGCCTAGGAACTTCAAACTTGGTATGGTGATTGGTCATGGACCAGCAGATGACCTATTGATTTTTGTGGTCAAGGGGTCAAAGGTCAAGGTCACATTGACCTTTGTAGGTAAAAACGGTTTCCGATCAATTAACTAAAAATGCTTAGGCCTAGGAACTTCAAACTTTGTATGATGATTGGTCGTGACCAGCAAGATGACCCCTATTGAGTTTTGGGTCAAGGGGTCAAAGGTTAAGGTCATGACCAGTAGATACTTGATAACCCTTATTAATTGTTTGATCACTGGGTCAGAAGTCATGCATAATAACCTTATCACACGACTAATTGGCTGCTGATAGGGGGCATACATGTTTAACAAACATATCTTGTTATTATAGAGATTAAGGATGATGACGATGATGTAGCTGAAAAATGTGATGATACTGTTTGAAACAGTTGATGGTAATAACATTGATGATGGTGTTGAGGATGATAATGTTGATCATGAATAGCTTGTTGGAATTATCATGATGATACTTTACCTCAACCCCTAACATTTACAATTTCATAATGGATAACTGTCTGCCACCAGACCATTCTGTCTGAGAGATTATAATATTATGTCTAGTGTTACAGACCTGGTGATTGTCTTTTTCCAAACAAATAAACTTACCTGAACAGACAGGTGTTATGTTTACTGTTTAAATGAAAAAATAACGATAATTGACACCAAATATGTTAATCTTATTTTGCTTTTTATGCCCCCGCCATGTAATGGCCGGGGCATATAGTGTTACCCTGTTCCGTCCTTCCGTCCTTCCGTCCTTCAGTCATTCCGTCATTCTGTCATTCCGTCATCATCAGTTTCCGTTCATTATCTTAGTAACGGTTGCACATATTCAACTCAAATTTGACATATAGATATGTCATGAGAAAATACAGGTCAAAAAAAAAAAAAAAAAAAAAAAAAAAAAAACAAAAAAAAAAAAAAAAAAAAAAAAAAAAAAAAAAAAAAAAAAAAAAAAAAAAAAAAAAAAAAAAAACCAAAAAAAAAAAAAAAAAAAAAAAAAAAAACAAATTTCGAATTTGGTGTCATGGTTCGATGATTTTTGGCAGAGTTTATGCCCCTTTTACTTTGAAAATAATATGAAATTTTCAGTTTCCGTTCATTATCTCCCCAACGGTACAACACATTCAACTCAAATTTGACATATGGATATTTTTTTGGAATGCCAAGGTCAAGTTCGAATTTGGTCATGGTTCAATAATTTTTGGCAGAGTAATGCCCTTTTCACTTTGAAAAAAAATATGAAATTTACAGTTTCTGTTCATTATCTACCCAACAGTGTTACATATTCAACTCAAATTTGACATATGGATATGTCAAAGGAATGGGCAGGTCAAGTTGGAATTTGGTCATGGTTCGATGATTTTTTGGCAGAGTTATGTCCCTTTCACTTTGAAAATAATATAGATACATCTTAGGAATAGGCAGTTTTAAGTTTGAAATTTGGTCGTGGTTCAATGATTGTGGACAAACTTATCTTTCTTGAATATTGGAAAAAAATTTGAACTTTCAGATTCAGCACTCAATACTTTTGTGGAAATGTATGTAGCCATTATTTTGGCTACAAATATGAAATATGCTATTTTCAAAAGGTTAAGATCTGAATAATTTCAGTGCCTTGAACATTGTATGGAAATGGTTTGTGTTAACATTGAAAAGTTTTAAGGGCTTTGAACTTTAAATGAAAACAATAATTTGTGCAAACAAATTTGGAACTAAATATTATAACATCTGAAATTTTGGCTGCATGCGGGGGCATCCGTGGCATGATGACACATTTCTAGTTTCCTAATGGATTTCAAATAAAGAACAATTATCTAATACAACGTTAGAGGTTGTAAATAATTGTTCATGAAAGGTTTTATACTGATTTTGAAAAGATGTCAGAACAAGCAAAAATTAGTTACATAGAAACAAAGATATGTGTTTATATCTGCAGTTATATATAGAGGAACTGGTCTCATTTCACATGAATATAACACTACTTTTACCCAAGTGATAGAAAAATCTCATAGATATGTGAACATTTTAATCTAGTTTGTCTTTACATTACCTTGTAAAGTTACGGTTTAATACCTAGATAAAGTCAAAATTCACAAAAGAGCGGATAAACCCTATGCTGTGCATGTTTCTATATCTTCTACATCCATGAGTGTCCTAATTAGGAAGCTTGGTTATATTCAGGTGACAGTTTGTGCCTAAAATAATTCACAAATAATGCAAGGAAAGGCAACCGAGGTATTCCTCCAACAGTAAAACTATCTGTGTTGGTTTGACCATCCAAAAAATAACATAACTTATCACATAAACCGCGGCGCAGGAGTGTAATAAAGCCATTTAATAAAAACGATATTACACTAGTGTAATAACACTTTGACGTGACGTCATTTGCGCTATATAGAAACATAGCGTTAAAGCGCGCTAATGTTAGCGTTTCAAAATTACTCATTTTAACAGTTTACTGTTCTTATTTTATATGTGTGATAAAAAGAATATTATATTCGTGCAGGTTCAATACTAAATATATTGAACTCGTGGAATAAAACAATATTATGCTCGCCAGAGGCTCGCATAATATGATTTTATTCAACTCGTTCAATAAATTTAGTATTAAACTACACTCATTTAATATCCTCTATATATTCATATAATCACTGTTAAAGATAATTATACTATTATATGAACATTATATTATGAACATTGTTGACAAAGTTTGGAAAATGATAACTCAATCAAACCCAACCATAGTACAAGGGTACTAGTAATACTGAAATCCTATTTCTGTTAACTGATACACTCAATTAAAAGTGTGTATGTGTGTTTCCATTCAATCAAATGACAGTCTCCAGAATTATATGACCTTAAACTTTGTTGGTGTGACATATTAACCTTAAAACAATGTAAATAAATTTTGTCTTTTAATGATATAATTAGGCTGCAGACCAGATTGGTTGTATGCTACATGTACATTATGTCAGTGCTAACATGTTCCCCAAATTGTACAACATGTAATGTTTGATTTATACTCACATTTCTGTGATGCCTGACATCAGTGTAATGCTGGACATCTGTTGATGTGATGATGTAATACATGCTTATATAGATTATTAGTTGACCTGATTCTAGGATGAAGGTCATGTCCTCTCTGTCTTGATTAGATAAACAAGTTTTAAAGGTAAACATCCATATTTGATGACCTTAATAAATGCGTCATTATACCTATGTTAGTATAGTTAAGGCATGTCAGCTAACTTTGCACAATATTTTTGCCATATTTTTTTACTGGTTATTTAAATATTGTCATCTATTTATGAAAGTACCTAAAACTTATAAAGTATATGTATTGTTCTGAATCATCATTCAGATTTTGTTCAGAAAAAGAGGAAAATAATTCAATTGTTCCTTTAGTAATCCAGCAATCGTTGTTCAAGTCAGATATAGAAAAATAACCAATATTGGCATTTCAGTAAAAATTTGAAAAGTTGAAAAGTCCAAAAAGCTTCTACAGTTGTTTTTGAAAAAGAAGTTTTGTTAATACATTGATTTTGTCATTTTAAAATGTGAATCTTGTTTTAAATTTATTTTTATATGGTTGCAGTTAAATGTAACACATTGAAGTCCAGATCTTGTAGGTTTTAACAAATTTTGGACATTTTAAATTGTTCACTCTTCTTTCTCCAAGTGAATAAGATTTTCAATTTCATTTTGAATTAATAACTTCTGGCTCTTGGCTTATCATATGTCAAAATTTGCATGTTGTACAAAATGTTGTAATATTTGAGACTGCACCTTTAAAGTTACAGCATATTATAGCAGAAGATGGCCACCTGGGGACATATTTAGTATATATATATATAAAAAGAGAGATAATAAGTTTACCTGTAAGGTATAAAGTTAGTAAATGCAATTATTTAATGCCATACATAGGAAGATTCACAGAAACAGAGGTCTCATTTGTTTTATTTATTCAATCTTGGCCACAGGAGGGATTTCTCTTCTCCCTCAGGTTTACAAGGAAATAGATAGAAAAAAAGTAATGGATATTTATTGATGAAATTTTGACAGACTGCCAAGCAAACTGTGGTGTTATGTTACATATATTGTGGTTTAAACTGTTTTGTTTTATTTAACTGTTGGATAAGTTTTAATTAAACTGATAATGTCTAATTTACATAGATTGGAGAGAAGCATTAAATTTTTGCTTTGGCATTTATTCTCATTGAATGTTTTAAGCTGGAGAAATTAAGAAAATAATACAGTAGAAAGTGAAGACATTCTTATTGCTACATGTGTAATAAAAACATTATTATTGAGTTTAGCTTTTGACTTGGAGTATGATACCAGTGTTTCTGAAGATAGTGTGACAGTTACAGGGATATTTTCTCTTCTAAATATTTATATTGTTTTCCTGGTATCATACTAAAATTTAACTTATAATAGGGCAAACGACATAAAAATACTGAATTAGCTGGAATATTTTCACATTAATGATTAAGCTGATTAATAAACAGAATACTGAGGAGATACTCTGCAACAAGTTTAAGCTATTGAAGAAATGACAAGTTTAGGCTAATGAAGACAGATTTTTTGGACATATTACTGCTTACCCTGGAAACTAGATTGATTTTATTATAGGAATATGTTTTTTCTCTCATTTGTTGATGGATGAATGGAGTTTGTTGTGATGAAGTATATCGTACAGTAATATTATCTGCAGGCTTGACATACATGTTAAAATGGTTTTGTGAAACATAGATATCATATTCTTTCGGATATGTTCCGTAAAAAAAGAAAATTTGGGAGTTTAAAACTAAAATTTGGTAAGTAAATGTCGATAAAAATTATTTTGTTGTTTTGTTTTTTGGGAGATATTTTTTCCACAACAGTTGTTCATAGTAATGTATTACACCTATAAATGCAAAGTTTAAAGTCTCCCATATTATCGAAAATATTATAAAGACAAAAACTCAAAATATAAATCTTGAAAGTAACTGTCCTTGATTCTACACCATTTACTACAAGATCTAGAATTAGGTCTTGTACATGATTGTTTTACTGCTGTAGTAATGTCATATATATGCATGTTTATGCAGGCAATTCTCATTTTATAACTTGTTACCTGTACTCCTCATTGTAATGTTGTAAATAAGTGCATATTTACATAGCTGCCAGCTGCCATGCACTGCAAATATTGCCAGTAACATGGAGAGACTAATAGGAAACTTGTAACTTAAAAGCATTTTGTTATAAAATATTTATATATTATTTATATAAAAAAAATATGGACAATTGATTTCTGTCTGTCTGTAGTGTTAAAGCCACACTGGGAAAGACATTTGTCTGTAGGATAGTTATTTATACACCCTCCCAGAGATTTCATATTGTCCTTGCTTTAACTTAATATATATTGTGTTACACAATTTGTTAGACAGTTACTTTTGAAGACTGAATGAATCATTCAAAAGAACAGACTTACATCTCTCACCATTTATGAGAGTCGCCCTTGATTTTGCACTAAATTTACAGTGTCTGTTTAGTTTTATTTCCGTGGACTTTGGTGATTCGACTTTGGTGATACCCCTATAAGTCAGGTTGTATTGTTTAACCCACAGGAAAAAATCTGTCTTGTTGTCCAGTGAATACAATTTATACATGTATATGAGGCCAGTCACTAATAATGTCTTTAGGGTGATTTCTTTCCACTCTTTAACACAGATCAATCTTTCCTTTCTTCCCCATATAAGCTAGTCTAAAGTCTCTTGACTTTGTTATACACAACACCAAGTAATTTTCTTACAAATGATAATTGAATTTTCTTGCTGGAAAAAAATGTGTGTATTTTTCTCCCTGATTACACTTTATGTTGCCAATTACCAGCCGCACATTAAACTTTGCTACAATAACAGAACAGAATAGAACAGAAGTTTATGCATACAACTCATTATCATAACCTCAAGTTATCATTAACAGAAATAAAATCATCTTACAATGGAGATATTGTATTTGCTATGCTTAATAACAAAATATTGTGCATTTAAAAAGAGTGTTTTTTCTTTACTCAAGAATCTATATTGAAAATTGAAAAACATGCTCATGGCTAGAATTGAATTATTGTACATTTTTGCAGGGACTTTTAATTATATTGTACTACAGTATTGTGAAAATAATCAAATTGTGATGTATGCTTCTTTCATAGTTTTTCATCATATTTCATCAACTTTTATATAATTTAGTTAAGTATACATTTTAGACTTTGGTTTAATTTTATGTATAAATTGACCATTGACCTCTTTTAAACCTTGTCCTGCTGGAAGTTTGACACCAGTTAATAGATCATGTCACCATATAGTGGTAACATTTGGTAGCTCAATATTGTTATATTGAAATTCCTAACTATTTTGAATGGACTGTTTCAAATTGACAGATAGTCAAATCCATTACATAGATTCAGGACAAATGTCTTCCAGAAGTAAAATCATAAAGTCTTCCTTAGTATCCCCTGTTGTATAAATATATACAGGTATGCTGTAAACAAATTTCTATTGTATTTTGAGCTTATGTAAATAATTAAATATCAATTGTTTGGAGCAGTTGAAGTAGTCTGTCTGTATAGAAATTTATTTTCCTTTTCTAATAATATCAATGTCAAACTGCCATTAGGATATTTGTTTTGTTTTACAAGATCATCCATCAACCGAGTTTTTATATTTGTTGTTATTGCTGAATTTAATTAGCTTTTAATGAACTCAGTGATGTTTGTTGTATGTTCTCTATTCCTGACAAACTGTTTATATAATGATGACATAATGAACACATCTTCATCTGCATCATTTTTGTGCCATTATAGTGCATGTGATATTTCTAAGAAATTAAATGGGAAACAAAAACAGATTGGTATTCCTTTATTTTGCTTGTCAAGATATTGAAATCTCTTGAAATTTCTGTTAATTATTTTAACTTCTGGTACAAAAAAAAATTCATTATTTTGAAGGAAAATTGCTTAATTTTTAGCTCCACTTTGATGGAAATCTTCAGTTATGTTTATGATTTGTTTGGTGAAGTTTTCATTTATGGTCATCCAACTTAAATACTAAGAAAGATAATACATGGAAACTTAATAATGTGAATGCATCTGGACAAGTTCTGCCCGCCAGGCCCATTTTTAGCTCACCTGTCACAAAGTGACAGGGTGAGCTTTTGTGATCGCTTTTCGTCCGGCGTCCGTCCGTCCGGCGTCCGTCCGTAAACTTTTGCTTTAAATGACATCTCCTCATAAACCACTGAGCCAATTTCATCCAAACTTCACAGGAATGTTCCTTTGGTGGTCACCTTTAAAAATTGTTCAAAGAATTTAATTCCATGCAGAACTCTGGTTGCCATGGCAACCGAAAGAAAAATCTTTAAATATCTTCTTTTAAAGAACTGTAAGAGCTAGAACTTAGATATTTGGCATGAAACATCTTCTAAAGAGTGTCTACCAAGTTTGTTCAAATACAAGCCCTGGGGTCAAAATTGGCCCCGCCCAGGGGGGTCATTGATTTTCCCTATATGCATATAGTAAAAACTTAAAAAATCTTCTTTTAAAGAACCCAAAGAGCTAGAGCTTAGATATTTGGCATGAAACATCTTCTAGTGAATGTCTACCAAGTTTGTTCAAATAAAAGCCCTGGGGTCAAAATTGGCCCCGCCCCAGGGGGTCATTTATTTTCCCTATATGCATATAGTAAAAACTTAAAAAATCTTCTTTTAAAGAACCCAAAGAGCTAGAGCTAAGATATTTGGCATGAAACATCTTCTAGTGAGTGTCTACCAAGTTTGTTCAAATAAAAGCCCTGGGGTCAAAATTGGCCCCGCCCTTGGGGGTCATTGATTTTCCCTATATGCATATAGTAAAAACTTAAAAAATCTTCTTTTAAAAAACCGTAAGAGCTAGAGCTTAGATATTTGGCATGAAACATCTTCTTGTGAATGTCTACCAAGTTTGTTCAAATAAAAGCCCTGGGGTCAAAATTGGCCCCGCCCCAGGGGGTCATTGATTTTCCCTATATGCATATAGTAAAAACTTAAAAAATCTTCTTTTAAAGAACCCAAAGAGCTAGAGCTAAGATATTTAGCATGAAACATGTTCTAATGGGTGTCTACCAAGTTTGTTCAAATAAAAGCCCTGGGGTCAAAACTGGCCCCGCCCCGGGGGTCATTGATTTTCCTTATATGTGTATAGCAAAAACTTAAAAATCTTCTTTGAAAAAACCCAAATAGCTTTAGTTTAGATATTTAGCATGAAACATCTATAAGTAAATATCTACAAATTAAAGCCCGGGGGTCAAAACTGGAACTAGAAACTAGATGTTTAGCATGAAACATCTTCTTATGGGTGTCTACCAAGTCTGTTCAAATAAACAAATAAAAGCCCTTGGGTAAAAATTGGCTGGGGGGGGGGGGGGCTATATACAGGTGAGCGACCTCAGGGCCATCATGGCCCTCTTGTCTCTGTTACCGTGACTTAAAATTGTCTCTTTGTTTTGAAAATATGCATTTTATATCCAGCACTGAGAAAGTTGAGCACACTACCCTTTGGACAGTTCTCTTGTTTAGAAACCATTACAAAATAATGTTCTGATTTCTACATTTTTGCTTATTTTCATGCCATGTGCGTTCTTACTGAATGCCTAATTTGCTGACAATTCTAATTTCCCTGTAATCTTTTCTTTTTGTCTTGAAATGTCATGGAATTCTAAGAGGATTATTTTTTATTTTATTTTTTTATTTGTGAAAGATGCCTGAATGAGAATAAATAAAAAGATTATTTAATGCAAGACTGAAAATGAAAGCAATAATGTTGTACTTAAAGCTTGCTAAAGACAATTATTAATACTTGGGAAGAACTTAAAAAACAAACAGCAGTTTGTTTAAGTTAGGCAGATGAACAACAGTAAGTCATGTTGTTCTAGAGTTAAGCATTATCAAGAATCTAGGCATCAGATGTTGATGTGTTTGTATACAAGTATTAAAGCAGGTGATGTTTCTACTGTTTAATCATCTTAAGGCAGGGTAAAAGTGTGAAATTAGCAGTTTTCACTGTTATAAGATACAAAATAAGGCTATAATATATTAAATTATGAGCCTGGCTGTGCTGTTGTTATAATCTACTGGTGATCTGCTGCAGACTTTTGTCCTAATTTTCTATTTCTCTCTCGGATAAAACATTACTATCTGACACCAAGTTAACAATATACCCAGGGAATTAATTTCACACAGCAGTTTTGAGGGTTTTTTTTCTATATACAGTAGGTTTCAACTTACTGAACTGAACCTGTTGTTTACTTCAGTTTACAGTTTCAAACAACTTAAATTGTTTTGTAATCTGATAATCTTCATTTAGTGAATATAGAAAAGACCATTGTGTTTTTTTGATAGAATAAAAATGTCATCTTAGGTAGATCTATATATAATATACATGATACCATATGTAACATAGGATACATCACACTGGCCAGCTGCAAATGTTAGTTGACAACAAATTTAGCACTTGTTATGGTGTTTGGAGGGAGATTATTTGGTGTCTTCAGCTTCCATCTATAATCTTCAATTTTTTTGTATAACAGTAAAACTTCAATTATCCCACATAACAGTTTAAACCTAAAGCTTCTATAGTGTAAACTTATATTTTCCGTTTTACATTTTAAATAAGAACATTGTGTTACCTTAATTAACAGAAAGATAATGTATACAACAAAATAAAAACATAATAATAAAACAAATTAATTCAGTCATTGATAATATTTGTTGAGGAGAGATAAGAAGTATTTTGTGTAATGGA